TATGAAAGTGATGATGGTTTCAAAATTTTCCACGGGGAAGTATACGAGTGCAATCTTAAAATGCTTTTATTTTGTGAATGGAGCATTTTATTTAAATCTGGTTAGTGCTACGTTAGTAGAAAACTTCAGGACTACTCAATAGACATATGTCGTGAACTCCGGCACTGTGACTGCGTAATACAATATACAGTTTATGGCTAAAGGTACCGACTGCGCCATTGTCGTGAACTCCGGCACTGTGACTGCGACTGCACTCCGCGTAGCTCAGCATCTTTTACATGCGTCCACACTCTTGAAAAGTATTTTCCAAACTCATTATCGGGTCGAACCATCGTCGACACGAAGCTCTAATGCTATTGGCAAATCAAAGTTGGCACTCGTGGAGAATAGAAGAACTATGAGAGTGATGATGGTTTCAAAATTTACACGGTGAGGTATACGAGTGTAATCTTTAAATGCTTTTATTTTGCAAATGGAGCATTTTATTTAAATCTGGTTAGTGCTACGCTAGTAGAAAACTTAAGGACTTCTTAATAGACATATAATATAGAAAAAATAGTTTCTTTTCAGATTTTTATGTGTAGATATAGATTTCAGCTTTTCTACAACTGTAGCAGCAACCAGATTTAAATAAAATGCTCTATTTGCAATATAAATGCATTTTGAGGTTGCACTCGTATACCTCCCCGTGGAAAATTTTGAAACCATCATCACTCTCATAGTTCTTCTATTCTCCACGAGTGCCAACTTTGATTTGCCAATTCCTCTCTCTTTCTCTCCCTCTCGTCATTTCTTCTCTTTTCTTCGACGTTTCATGACAGTTAGCCACCGTATGGGATTCGGTACCTTTAGCCATAAACTGTATATTGGCATAAACATACAAATCCAAATACTTAAATTGCAATATATTTTGAATTCTATCAACCAAACGAACTTTTTTTTTTCTTTTTTTTAGCAATTAGACTAAACAATTTGTTGTAGCAATTTTTAAGTGCAAAAGCAACTTTTTTACGAAAGCGTACCGTTTTTCCAAATTAATCATTATTGACTACTATAATCCCTACAACATATAATACAGAAAACATAATTTCTTTTCAGATTTTTAGGTGTAAACATAGACTTCCGCTTTTCTACCACTGTAGCAGTAACCAGATTTAAATAAAATGCTCCATTTTCAAAATAAAAGCATTTTAAGATTGCACTCGTATACTTCCCCGTGGAAAATTTTGAAACCATCATCACTTTCATAGTTCTTCTATTCTCCACGAGTGCCAACTTTGATTTGCCAATTGACGATCTAATGATTGGCGAATCAAAGCAAAGCCAAAAATTGTCATGCGATACCTAGTTTTACGATCCGCAATTACAAAATAAAAAATAAAAATTGGCATGCAATTTGATAAATATCAAAACGTCATTACCATTTTCACCCACTCGCCATCTGTGAGTCAATCGTCACTTTGATTCTTCAATAGCACTCGTGGTGACTAGGAGAAAAAAAAATGATGATAGTTTAACGGTTCGGTACTATTTTTGCTGAATTTGTTCGGTAAAATGTCATTTTTACCGAATGCTTTGTAAAAAATATTATTTTACCAATTTTTCGCAACTGCTGAATTTCCGTAAATAACATACATTTACCGAAAACTGTAAATAAAATTTGCGGATCGATACTGTAAAAGGCTGTGATTCCGCAATTCTGTAAAAATTTATGACGAATGTACTGTTACAGCAATAAAGTACCGAATTCTGTAAAAGTTACTGAACATATATTTGTGTACTGTCAAACTCAATATTGGCTGCCATTCCGATGTTGCGTGTCTTTCGGTTCTACGTTGTGAAATGTACTGTGAAAGTACTTTACTTTTAGCTAGATTCCGTGCAATTTATGCCGAAGATATAATTAGTATAATTTTTAGGCCAATTTCTTTCAGACGCCATAGACGTTAGGCAACTCAATGTCCTCTTCTACCGCAGAAACTGCATTTTAGCGCGGTTTGCTACTGAATCGATAGAGTCCGGGTTCTCCAATGATTTTTTTTTTATATTTTCTATACGAACGTAAGATCAAAATGCCTCTTCAAAAATATATGGTTGAAAGCTGGGAGGGAGAAGCAGATAGCACACACAGAATTCATTGCATACTTGTTCTACTTGTCATGAAAATTTATGCCATTGAAATCAAATCAAAACAGGTGTAGCAAAATCGCGTGTTTTGCTTTGAGCGTGTAGTAATTGTTTGAGATTATTCAGCGTGCAGTGAGAAACGGTACTATCATAGAGGTAACTCTAAGACTAGTAGGTCCCGAAGAAACGTGCTCAACTTTTTGGCTCAGCTCTGGTACTTATCTTCGGTCCCAAGCTAATCGATTCACCCCTCGAAGCATAGGAAAATCCACTAACCCCTCATTTTATCTGTCAAACTTTCATAGCTTATCAAAACAAACATTGTGTAGTAGTAGAATTTCGACTAGAATGGGGTACGTTAATCGTTTGCTTGGGACCAATAGGCTAGTCAAGTAGTGAGCCAATTTAAAATCGTTAGCTTCGTATTGATTGTTGGTACTATTCTGTTTGGTATTTTATTACGCTACTAGATGTTTTGACAAAACCTTAATTGATGGTATCTTTCAATATTGATTTGTGTGTATTTTGAATGAATTAAAAAGAAACGGTGTCCCTTTGAATAAAATAGGTGGAAACAACAGTTTGTCATAAATTGTTTTACGCAAGATTTCAATACCGCCTTGTGTATTCTTGTTCAACTGTAAGAAAAGCATCATGAAATTGCTTGGCTTCCAATGACAGTTCGTGACAGTAGCCGTCTGACTGCATTTGACGTTCCATTTTTCTCTCTTCGCGACTCTCCCTCAGGTTAAAAGGAATGAATCTTTTGGTTTGGCGAAACAAGAAAACAGTTAATTAGTCAATAAAAATTAGAATGCTTATTATTTATTCTGAAAATAAAGTACAGTCGATTCGGTAAAAATTATACTGAACGCTATGGTAAACATTATAGATCTTTGAGTAAAATTTACAGTCCAGGTCAGTAAATTTTGACAGCCCACAACCGAAGAAAATTTACAGAACGGATTGTAAATAAAAATTTACCGAATGTTCAGCTGTTCCATATTCGGTAAAAAATTACAGTATACTGTAAAAAATCTTAGTGTGCGGGGAGGTATAGGCACAGAGAACAGACGTCCAACTTGTGTAAAGATAAGTGGGAACGTCGCCGTTACTTGGTGCTAGCATAGAGGTATCTCTAAGACTAGTAGGTCCCGAAATAATGTGCTCAACTTTTTGGCTCAGCTCTGGTACTCTCTTCGGTCCCAAGCTAATCGATTCACCCCTCGAAACATAGGAATATCCATTAACCCCTCATTTTATCTGTCAAACTTTCATAGCGAATCAAAACAAACATTGTGAAGTAGTAGAATTTCGACTAGAATGGGGTACGTTAATCGTTTGCTTGGGACCAATAGGCTAGTCAAGTAGTGAGCCAATTTAAAATCGTTAGTTTCGTGTGGATTGTTGGTGCTAGCATCTCCAAATTTCCTCCTCTATAAATTTTGCACTTTCGACCAATTTGGCGCTAGTATAGATAAATTTTATGTTGAAAATTGCCACTTGGCGCTACCAGCACTTAGTTTCCAGGGTAAATTGTGCAACGCCAGCTCCATCAGATTGTCAAATAGGGTTTTTAAGTGGAAAAGTCGCCGTTAGTGGCGCTTAAGTCAAATAGGAATCTTTACACTAGTTTTTAGAGAAATTTTGTTCGAGCCTCAACGTCTGCTCTCTGTGGTATAGGAGAGAAATCTTAAAAAGCATGTATTATCCGAAAAAAAAACTATTCGTTATTTTTTTATTGTTACTAAGGGGGAAGAAACCTCAAAAGCTACCCGATAAACGTATAATTTAAATTTTAATTTTTTTTTCTTAGTTTTCATTTAGATCCATCGATTTAAACTTTTATAATCCCATATGCCAAATTTATAAAAACAATTATTCTCCCATACCTCACCGTACAAAATTATGAAATCATCATATATTTTTCTATTATCTCCTATTTGCATCCTTTATATATACGTAAGTATTGATTGTCCGAAAGTGAGGATAACAAACAAACTTTTTGACTGGAGCGAAAGTGAGGATAATAAACTTCGCACTTGAAAATGTAACTACGCAAGTGTGCATGTCATAAACGTCAAAAATGTCAATTCCAACAAAAGAAATAGGCAGAATAACCAAACTTAATCAATGGCTTCCACACCACATTCAGCGTTTGAAAGAGTAATCTTCCCTAGTAACAATTTAGGTTTTATGAAGGTTCTGTAGACCATGATTTAGACATGTAGAATGCTTTAAAACCTCGATAAAACTTGTAATATTACATGGGTTCCTTTATTGAATACCATTGTTAGTTTGCGTGGGTGTGTTTTGATTCTTTTGAAATTTGCATCTAAAGCCATTGCCCTAATACACAAATACCATAAACGAACTGTATCTCGGATGGGTAAACTATCCCACAAATGGTTTGGATGATACCCCGAACACGTCGTTAAGTTCTCTTTCATGGTTATTTTTATTAGGGTTTTTACGGTTGCTTGTTCCGCCTATTTCAATTGTTGGTCTAGAATTAACAAATTGCAACGGAAAATCTTTACTTTTACTCACATTCTCTTTAGGCCTATAAAACTTGGCCTCTCTCAGCCAGCTTGAAAATCATAGTAATGATGGATATTACACATTTGCACGTCACGGTATAAGAGTGAAATATTTAAATGTTTCTATTTCTAAAACCAAGCTATTATTAATGATTTCGTTGATTCTATGGGTGATAAGAAGTTTAGATGGATTTATCTTAACCAATTTCAATGTTTACATAGTTGGAGTACCTGACATTTATCCCACAATCCTCGTGTAGTTTCTAATTAATCAATATATAACAGCAATCAAATAGAAAAGTACCTATAATTATTTTCCTTTCTTTTATTTAGGTAGTGCCGCCAGCGTCCCACAATGTCCGGAACCATTCGGTGAACAAGCTTATCTACATCCCGACCATTGTGATCAATTTTTCCTATGCACAAATGGAACACTAACACTTGAAACGTGTGAAAATGGTCTGCTGTTTGATGGCAAAGGTGCAGTCCACAACCATTGCAACTACAACTGGGCCGTCGACTGTGGCAACCGCAAATTCGTCACTGACCAAACGCCAATCTCTACTCCAGGCTGTGAATACCTGTTCGGAGTCTATCCTGACAGCAACACATGCTCGACTACCTATAGTAAGTGTGCCTTCGGAGAACCACATCCTGACCATTGCGAACCAGGACTTGTATACGATCACCGAATCCATGGATGCCAGTGGCCAGATAAGATGCTCGAAACATGCAACCCAGAAGCCGTCATTGGATTCAAGTGCCCATCTTCCATTTCATCTAACTCCATCAACCACCGTTTTCTGCCGTATCCCAGATTTGCAGTGCCTGGAGATTGCCACCGTTTGATCACCTGCGTCGATGGACACCCACGTTTGATCACTTGTGGAGATGGCAAGGTCTTCAACGAAGAATCCCTAACCTGCGAAGATCCGGAGGATGCTCCATATGCTTGCCGTCACTAACATTTTCTTGTGTTACTTCATTTGCTCCTTCTTTCAAAAGTTCTTGAGATATTTATTAATGTTGTAAAAAGTATAGTTGACTCTCTTTCTTTTCATTTCTGCTATTCTCTCATACAATCCCGTTCAATTGTTTTCCAAGTCAAGATATGTAGACGTGTTACCACAGCGAAAGTTCCATAGTTATTCTAAATGGATGTAAAATATTTACTTGGATTGAAAAATAAAAGCATAAATTTTAAATAGTGTTTTACTGTAAGGGATCTTTTGTAAGCCCATGTTACAATGCTAACCACTTAAACATGCATTAATTGGGTTCTTTAATTTTGAAAAATGTATCGATATTTACAGCTGACAGCTTAGTTTTTTTAGTACAATGATATTTTTTCGAACCCATAGACGTTCGTCTCGATTTTTAAATTAAGATTTAAAACAAAATAATAACTTCACTGCTTGACACTAAACTAACAAATTGACAGATTACTCCATTACACAGTCCCACTGAGGGGTGCTAAGAAGGTGATTTTTCCAAATGTAATCGCACTTATTAAAAATAGTTCCAGTGCACCAAAATTGATAAAATTTTGGATATCGATTCCATTTTTAATGTAGATTACGAATATGCACATCAAATTCTAGTTTTGATGTTCAGTACTATTTTTTACGGTTTTGATCTGTAAAAGTTTATTTCTACAGAGTGATCTGTAAAATTGCTTTAATTTTCTTCTGTCTGTCAAATAACTACAAATTTTTGGTAATTCCTATGAGAATATTACTGAAAGATTGTATTTATTTTACCGATGTACTTTGTAAGCCATAAAATGTCATTTAATCTCAATTGGTCAGTAAAAGTTTTACAGATTTTCAGTGATTTTTTTTAAAATATTGACGAAAAATGTAAAAAAAAATACATGAGTTCAGTAATTATTACTGAATGCATCAGTAAAATCACGCCTGTCAAATCTTCGCCATTTTGCTTGTGGAAAATTCAATTGTGAATAAATTGAAAGAAAATCGTGCGCATATTTGCAGAAAAAAAAACCTTGTAAACCATTGAAATGGAAGACGTGTTAGATGTGCTAGCAGCTACGAATGTGAAAGTAAGGGAGCTTTTCAGTAAGTACTATTTATATACGTTGACTATATGTTTTGTATTACTTCTGCGTGAAGTCAACGATTTACATAGTTGAAGATGCTAATTTCAAATAACAGACTAAAGTGGTAATTTTTATACGATAGATGAGGAGATGAAAGTATAGAGTTGATAGTTCCGTGAGAGTACGGCAGTATGAAAATTGTATAAATAGTTGTCCGTGCTCGCTTTCTACTCTCTATATACAATTTTCACACTGCCACTTATAGATCCGGAACATCCGTAAAAGTGGTCAATTAATGAAACTGATCCTAGAGCTCCGTGGTTTTTAGAAACAACTCATAGACATCTTATCAGAGTGAATTCAGAGTTGTGTTCGGAATATGGACTCTGCAGACTACAGGATGGGTGCCAAAAGATCCGAAACATCCGTAAAAGTGGTCAATTCATGAAACTGATCCTAGAGCTCCGTGGTTTTTTTCGAAACCACCCATAGACGTCTTATCACAATAAATTCGGCGTTTAGACCACGGGATGGTCAACCGGAAGATCCGGAACATCATGAAACTGATCCTAGAGCTACGTAGATTTTTGTAAACCACTCATAGGCATCTTATCGGAGTGAATTCAGAGTTGTGTTCGGAATATGGACTCTGGAGACTACAGGATGGGCACTGAAAGATGCGGAACATCCGTTAATGTGGTCAATTCATGAAACGGATCCTAGAGATTTGCAGTTTTTTAGAAACCACTCATAGACATCTTATCAGAATGATTGCGGAGTTGTGAAGATCTAGACAATCCGTAAAAGTGGTCAATTCATGAAATTGATCCTAGAGCTCCGAGGTTTTTTCGAAACCACTCATAGACATCTTATCAGAATGAATTCGGAGTTGTGTACGGAATATGGATCCTGGAGACTACAGGATGGTTTGCCGGAAGATCCGGAACATCCGTAAAAGTGGTCAATTCATGAAACTGATCCTAGAGCTCCACGGTTTTTTCGAAACCACTCATAGACGAAATATCACAATAAATTCGGACTTGTGACCAGAAAATGTATACTGGCGACCGCGATGTTAGTGGAAAATCCATGAAACTGATCCAAGAGCTGCATGGTTTTTTTTCGAAATCAATCATAAATTAATATGAAAATATCTCAAGATGATATTTTTTAATGGCTTATCGATTCAATTTTGATGTGATGAATTAAAACTATAAACATTAACGATAGTCTCTCGTTAACTTGTAACTCCAAAGAAAGATCTCCAAGAAGTCAAGAGAAAGAAGTCAAAGAAATCCAACGAATAATATTTAAAAATTCCGTTAAAAACGCCTAGAAGTTATTAAATACATAGATGCTACCTAGAAATCATCCATGATAATAAATAGAAAAATAATGTCTATGAGCACTTTAATAAAAAACAACAGAGTGCTAAGATCAGTTGTTCTTGAATTATCCACTTTAACGGATGTTCCGGATATTGCTGAGGACCATCCAATAGACCCTGGGGACCATTTTCCAGTCACAACTCCGAGTTCATTCTAATGAGACGTCTACTATCTTCCAAAGGAGCATTCATGCACAGAAAAAAAATCTGAATTTTAACTATCGCGTAAAATCTCCTTTCGTTTAATTTTGTGCTATACTTGGCAGTGTTGAGAAAAATCAGGTTGGAACAATTGACGAATACCATGCATTTCAAAGCATGTTTGTATATCGATCCGAGGTTTAACTACATCGGTTCGAATCCAATCTCATCAGCCGACAAAAATGCTATCCAGGTAACAATTAATTAGTTTTATTGTTTCATTTTATGTCAGGATCTATGTTATATTTATAATCTTCATTTAGCGGTACTTGCTGGAGCTGCACGCTCGTGTTGATGAAGTTGAGGGAAAAGTTGCGGATGATCCAGACGTTGCCACTACTGATGAGAGTAATTTCATTGAAGATTACCTTGAGAGCTATTTTTCTAAAGATTCTCACATTGAAGATAAGTCAGTACAACTAAGAGAAAATAAAATATTGATACTCATCAAAGAAATGGAGCAGCGACAGAAAGTAAGCATCAACGCTCCGTCTGAAGGACCATCCAAATCTAAAGAACCGGCATCTAAATTCGACATTTTGAGGTATTGGGAAGGTGAACGTTCCCGTAATTCAGAAATGCATCGATTGGTTGTTGTCTTGATTTCAGCTCCGTCCACTCAGGCATCGGTTGAGCGTGCATTTAGCGGCATAAAATTTGTTCTCACCGACCATCGTCAACGACTGAATGATGACAGAATCCAGGATATTATGATGTTGAAACTCAATCCAGACTTTTTTCCCGTGATTGCTGAAAAACTAAAACTGATTCTACTTTTATTTGAACGCATATTGCTAATTTGTGAACTTATCATGCAAACTTTTAGGATTTTGTGTTTATTCAAGAATTCCGTATTTTAATTTGATCTGAAATATAAATCTAAACCTGTTATTACCATATGTTCTGCTCTTAAATAAATATTTTTGGTGTGTAGTCTTTTATTTTTAATAGATTTTGCAATGAGTTTTATGCACACAATAAAAAGTTCTTTGATATATGTAGAAGAAACGACGGCTTCGGCAACACTTTTACCTTGTATCGTCAACGTCAACAAAGTCCTTCCCGAGCAGAGAATGAAAACAAAATGAAAACTAATTTGGATATTTTGATATAAGCGTTCGTGATAACATATTTTGCCTACCGTGTGGTAGAGTTAACAATCATAACATCAATCATTAATCATAACAAAAATTAGAACTAAATGGTATATGAAGGATATCAAAAAGATAACAAATCATGTTTTCTTGATAACAAATCCATGTATGCGTTTTGATATCAGTAATTCCGTTAATTGTAAACAAAATAAGTAATCAATATGTTATTATAACTATGGTAGGAAAACAAAACATAAATAAATACTAAATCATCATGATATCAAATTTAAAAATCATGATATCAAATATCAAATTTAAAAATCTGAATGTTTTGAAATCTATTGGTTGATATCAAGTTTCGAAATCAAAAAATGTTATCAACAAATTTTCATCTATTCAAAATGAAAACAAACCTATCACCCCTATTCTGTATTTCGTTTCGAACGAAATTCTCACACAAAAAAATATTTTTTTGTATAGGAATTTCGTTTCGAACGAAATACAGAATAGGAGTGTATACTTCAATCAGTTCTATCAATATCTATCTTATATCGATTAGTAAATTGAATTCGCAGGTAGATTAAGATCAATAAATGTTGTAAAATATAACTGTTCAAATCATAATTCAAGCTGAGCATTGCATTAGGTCCTAAGTAACATTGGCAGATTCTCTTCGTCGACTTTCTCTTTGTATCTCCACGGCCATGTAAAGACATTCCCAGGTATTTTCAGCAAACAGATCTGTAAAAGAAGCTTTTATCTTGCATCTAATATGACAAACACAACAAGAAACGGATTTGTACTCAAGTTATTAACGAACGAGAATGTCGATGAAGAGAATCGAACAATGTAACTTAGGACCTAATGCAATGTTCAGCTTGAATTGTCTTTGTGATGTTCATAAAGAAAATAGCAAGCAACTGATTAACTCGTAAGAAAAAAAATTAACAATATGTAGATTTCAGTGATAAATGTGGAAGCTCTTTTTAAAAATATATCAAATTTTGTTTTTAATTATATTTTTTAGAAATATCAAAAAAACTATCAAAATATAAACTCAACTGAAATTAAAAAATAGTATATCAAAATATGTTAGCAATATGATTTCAAAAACATAATTTGATATTATTTTGATATCTGACTTTGCTCGGGTTGAGCGCTCAAATTTGTTCAGTCGACGCTCTGAAACATTTCGACAGTGAGCATACATAAGGGCCTATACGCGATGATCGATTCTCTTCGTCGATTTTCTCTTTCGTTAATAACTCGCTAGACTGAACGTTTATCGGTGCGTTTGCTGTTGCTTTTGATAGCCAATACAACCTGTTACTACTCTGCATTGAACAAATTCTAGAAAATTGTTTCGCTTAGCTGTAGCAATGCAAAGAGAAAATCGATGAAGAGAATCGATCATCGCATATTCGCCCTTATGCATGCTCACTGTCGATTTACTCCCGCTACGATAATAGGTATTGGTATCAGGGCTCTACATTTTCGAAGCTCTAAAATGAACTCGAGTTTTGTATCTCTCATACACACGTGTTCAACGCTTCATTTCTATAACGTCTAGCTAGACTATCAGCAAGAAATGATAATGAAAAAAATTGGAAGGGTTGTATGCTAGATACGACCGCAGGGTTGGCGTTGGATAACGTCTGTTATGTGTTGTACTTAATTGTGTATATTATAAATATTTTAGGAATATTCCTTAATAACTCTTTTGCGAAAGTTTGGTGGCCCTGAAAAGGGCCGTTTTGTTGGGCTGATGTTTTTGACAATGATGGAACGGGTGACCTTGTTGGACGCTTATATAGTAGAACAGAAAATATCAGAGGTGTCAGATACTCGCATACGTACGTTAAACTCTTTCTTGATAATGTTGTGGCCCTGAAAAGGGCCATTTTTCCAACGCGCTCGGCGTAGTTGCCCTTGCGGAGCAGACGGTGAATACAACCAACTGAGAACTGCAGCAGCTGGGCATTCCATGACGGCGGCCCAGTATACCGGAGCACTGGCACCAAAGCACTCGGCGTAGTTGCCCTTTCGCCCCCACGCTCTGCTGCCGCTGCTCTGCTGCCGTTGCTCTGCTTCCGCTGCTCTGGTACTGCTGCTCTGCTGCTCTGCTGCTGGGTCGACGATCGGATAGACAATGATGGAACGGGCGACCTTGTTGGACACTTATATAGTAGCACAGAAAATATCAGAGGTGTCAGATACTCGCATCTGATGTCTCGGTTGGAGAAAGTATAAGAATATAAAAAAATCAATCAATTTTCACCATCTTTAGACAATGGTTTACTTTTAACCATTTTTCAATAGTTTACAGAATGAAATCAATAATTTTGAAACATTCAGCAAATTGCTAGAAATATTTCCAATCGATTGATGCCATTATCTCGTAAATCTATCGAGAGACGGTTGAGTTATTATCGTTCAAAATCTTTTAATTTTTCGTAACGGATCCAAAATTACTGTTTTCAATTTTGTACCCCCGTATGTTGCCGAAAGACGTTATCCAACGTCAAAAGAAGCACGCTTAGAAGGAAACGCTGGCTGTGGATCTTCTCGTCGTTGCTTTGCTCATCGCTTTCAATGTAAGTAATGTCGATTTTCTAGTTAAACGAAACCTCATTATGGCTTTCAATTCCCTTTCACGAACACTCTATCACCAGTAAACATCAAAGCATCCTTCCCCCCGCATCGTGCTCTCTTGCCGTGCGGATCTATTTTCTTTTTGCTTAAGGTAGTGTTACTACTACCTAAAGCTACAACAAATTTAAACAGCACTTTTCAGTGCTCAATCTGTAAAATTTTTCTACCTTGTTCAACTCTTATTCCTCTTCGATCCTTGTTTGGACCCTACCCGAGGTAATCCTTCTTGGATATCGATTTGGAAAATTCCTCTTCGATCCTTCAGATTCTTATAGTAATCTGCTTGGAAGTCGATTTGGATAAAAATTTACTGCCGCCATGACGCCTAAACGCAAAAGAAAGAGGCAAACTCTTGACCCCCCCTTCTGATGAAATTAATTTGAGTAATCAATTTGATTTGCTCACGGATGATGAGAATGATCCATCATCCAAGAAAAATTCTAGTAAACTTTCCCGGCTTAATGCCAAGAAGGAAAAGATTCCCCCTATTGTGATAACCACTTCCGATTTCCATGCTCTTCGCATGGAACTTTTGAAGTTAAGTTTTCACTACAAATTGGACGTCAGAGTGAATGCCGTGTATTGGCTGAAACCTTGGATGGATTTAAATGTCTTCTCAAGTATCTTACTGAGAAGAAGCACAAATTTTTTACTTACGACACCAAAACTGAACGTGTATTCAAGGTTGTCATGAAAGGACTGCCCAGTGGTGAATCCTTGGATCAGATCAAAGATGAACTGGCAAAATTACTTGGAGTTGTGCCACTCCAAGTAATCAAAATGAAAATGAAATCCTGTCCTGGCGATTCGCGCAACGGGATTTCTAATGATTTTTATTTAGTTCACTTCAAGTCTAGTGAAATAAACAACCTTAAGGCCTTAGAAAAAGCTAGCCTTATGCTCCATGTCCGAGTGAAGTGGGAACACTTCAGGAAGACTGGAGGAAATTTCCAAAACCTCACTCAGTGCCGTAAGTGCCAGGGATGGGGTCACGGAACTAAAAATTGCTACATGCCAGCTAAATGCATGAATTGTGGTGATTCCTCTCACACAAAGGACGACTGTCCTATGAAGGAAGATCCTAAGAAATTTATATGTTCAAATTGTGGTAAAAACCACAAATCCAATTTTTTGAATGTAAGACTCGCAAAGCGATCCTTCAATCTTGATCTAAGCGACAGGTAGGAAACGCTCCACGTTTCCGACAGGTACAAATTCCTCTGCTGTTAACAACGGTCAGCGAGGAACAAATTCTACATTCGTACCCGTAGGTACAAATATCACCCCTGCTTCAAATGTTTCATCTGTACCTACTCCCCTCGCTGCTAACAATGTTCAGCGAGTTAATGGAGCTACCTATGCTGCTATTGCACCGGGTAGAAATCAAAATATTGCAAAAGCTTGATTTGCTCAGCTGTCACTCTTTTGTGCGCAAGGGTATGTGACTGATAGTTGACTCGAATGAAATCTTATATTGCTTCAAAAATTGTCTTTAAATATTGACGTTACCCTTCTTAAAGCTTCAACTCGTTATTACCTATATGTATTTCGGGCCAGTGAATCATAATTTCACATAAAACAGTTGCAAATCAACAAATAAAAAAATTACTTGCAATCGTACATAGTCAACAACCCATCAGTTACCCTTCACCAAACAAAACAAAACAAACTGTCAACTCATTTTTCCTAGCGGCTTCATTTGATTTCTGCTGTGCCCGTTCGACGTCGGCTTTGAATCGCAGGTAAAATATTTTTCGTATCAATTCAAATGAAATGCATTTCATAATAAGTGTTTCTTTTTCAGATGTGCCATCATGTCTCCAACTTTTGTAGGACTGGAGGGACGGGAGGTTGACTACGAGGTAGAATTTCTGGAGGAGGAAGCAGAAGCAGGACCATCAAATGTGCAGCAGGCAAAACGATCGTTCCAGGATACACTGGATTCTGCTTCGCCCGGAAGCCCTGGAAGTGAAAGTGAATGTTTATTATGTATATTAATGATTTGCGACGCGTTTTACGATTTTGCGACATTAATCTTTTTGCAGATGATACTGTGTTATTCATTGCAGCTAAGGATTTAGAAGTTGCCGTCTCACATTTGAATGAAGATTTGCGTTCTCTAAGTAGATGGTTGAAGTGTAAGCAGTTGAAATTAAATACAAGTAAAACTAAATTCATGGTAATTTCGCGGAACCGAGTAAATGATAATGTCTCCGTGGTAATTGATGATGAGGCTATTGATCGCGTTCGGGAGATTAAATATCTTGGCGTGATTATTGATGACAAACTTAAGTTCAACTCTCACATTGACAATGTCATCAAGAAAATTGCCAAGAAGTATGGAATTCTATGTCGACTGAAAAACGATTTAACTATTGCCAGTAAAATACAGCTATACAAATCAATCATCTCTCCTCATCTAGACTTTTGCCCATCCATTTTATTTCTAGCCAATGAAACACAAATATCGAGATTACAGCGTTTGCAGAATAAAATAATGCGTTTGATTTTGCGATGTAATAGATTCACTTCCTCAACTTTGATGCTGGACGCTTTAAAATGGCTGTCAGTGAAGCAAAGAATAGTTTATTTGACTATGGTGTTCATTTTTAAAGTAGTAAATGGTTTGCTGCCTCGATATTTGTGTGATCGAATTGAAAGAGGAAGTGATTTTCATAGATATAATACTAGAAACGCGGATGAAATAAGAACACCACATTTCTTGACTTGCGCTTCACAGAATTCATTGTATTTTAAAGGAGTAAATGTTTTCAATTCGATGCCTAGACATATTAAACGTGCAACAACATTAGCAGAATTCAAGAGACATTGTATTTCACACGTTAAAACTGTCTTTTGAACAGTTATCCAGTGATTTTTATTTTTTTTTTTATGAATGGACGAAGTATGTATCTTGACGAAGTTATTTATAACGGATTATTTTGTATGGATAGCTGTCATAACGACTTTTTAATAATTATTGTAGCACTGCAAAAACTATTTTGTTCGCCACGATGGTGATGATGGATTTTTTTTTATATTTGAATTAAAGTAGTAGTTAAAAAAAAAAAAAGTAGTAGTCTACAAAGGTTTGAGCCTCGCGCGCGTATTACGGATATAGAGGACTGAATTTAACATTTGATAAAAAAAATGCAACTTTGAAGCTTATTTGGAAGATACTTTGAGTTAGTATTAAGTTTTCTGGCTGAATGTCGGGGGTTCGTGAGCATTACTGACATTGCTGAAAATTATAATAGCATCATTGCGGGGTTGCTAGTGTATAGGATGTTTTGTTGATTGTTCATTAACTCTTGATTGCTTGTAATACTTATGAATATTCTAGGTGGACAAAAAGGCGAACTAAGAGGTGGACGCCTAAGCTTTTTCACATTTATGTATATTGCTGTGAAGCAACTGTAAAGTCTAGAGGGAATTTATATCTGTAACTGTAACCAGCTCGTTTTTGTTTGCTAACCTGGTTAAAATGTTTATATTTAATTATCTTAAAGAAAAATCGTCCAGCTCAAACCTTTGTAGGGGTAAGAGGTGGGACCATCATCATCATCATCATCATCACAAGCGGATCCAAAACAAATATTTCGATTCCCAGCAACTGTATTCATCAGAAACTTCAAGGGCCACAAAAAAGGTCCTTCTGTGGGAAAAGTGCAAGTGAACTGTGAATCAGCTGAGGAGGTAATGCAAACTGTATGGGATTACTGTGAAAAGTTCATTCGCAGAGAGGCCGTGTTTGAATCACTCGCTGGTGGAGATGCTGATCAATTTACCGTGCACTGGAATGATGATTTGAACCCAGAAGTCGGCGATATGGATAAGTTCATCTCCTTCCAAGATAAAGCCTCGAAACGCACGTTTAAACCATTACAGTTGCTAGAAAAGCCAGACAAAATGCAGAAATTTCTGAACAGAGATATTAACGTGTTTGTGCACATTTATTCGGAGTCGGTGACCTCAGCCGCTATGTACGAAACACTGCGAGTGCAGCTGATAAAACCGGAAGAGCGTGACCGAGCAGGAGCAGCATCCAACCAGGCAAACAGTAATTTGTCCACTGAGTTGAAGGAACTCTACAAGCTATCCTACATTTCATCGGACATCAACTGGTCTGTATGGGCTTCGTACTTACTGACCAAAGACGCGCTTGAACGAGAGGAATTGAAGTTGTGAGGACCTCCCCAACATCTGATACATTTGTTCCAGACGGTTCCCTCATGCTCTCAAAACGTGCTGAATCACACTCGTCAGGATGTATGCATTGCCCAAAATGTTAATTCAGGGTATAAACAATTGTTGGATGGCCTGCAAGCAGATTTGGACCAGCTTATGACATATGCTAAGGCGATGCAATTGCGCTTGACCGCATTGCAAACGATGCAGGCAACTAACACTTCATTGCTAGCAGATGTGTCTGGCAGTATTGCTGTATCTGAAGATAGCTTTGGGCAGAAACTCGCCGAGGAAGTGACCGACTGCTTGGATGTCGACCATCAATAACGATTTGCTGATCCTGATTCCGAACGATTCCATACGCATTCGGGACGACCAACTGATTGAAGCTGTTGCTTATTGAACATCTCTATGTTTTGAGTTTATGAAATAAAAAAAGGTGAACAACATTTGATTATTTGATTTATTGTTTATTAATCCTTATTACGTACATTCTCAAATCCCAATGATTCGATATTTTGACTTAGTCCGTTTGCCGGATTGAATTTCCCACCTGGCAGATATCCGCATTTGCGGAATACACGAGTGCAGTTAAAGTTCGTGAATGTATTTAACGTCGCAGAAATGGTTGTTGTGAGATCCGAAGAGCTATTTTCTACGTAGACACGTTGTAGTTTTTTCTTGCAGTATCCAAAAATATACTCGATTGGATTGAAAAACGGTGTATACGGAGGCACTCAACTATTCGTCGATGGCAGTGAATTCTAGCCCCATCCAAGATCCAGACCGAATTAACTCCAGGGTGTCGATAAACTTCTCCACTGTTGGCAAAGCTACGACAACATTCAAAGAACTTTGCCCTCGTGAAAGTTCCTTCCGTCAAGTACGTGTTCTTCATTCCTGTCTGGCCCAAGAAGCAGAGTAAGGATACTCTGGCTTTGCGGTTGAATTCACCCCTGTAAATCAATTTTTCGTCGACCTTGGCGTAGCCTCGATTCCGCAACATACCTCTGTTGTCGATCGATACTTCGTCCAAAAAGATAAGGTGATGTAGGTCCCAGTTTATTGCAGCCAGCTCATTGACGAAATGACAAATCTGAGATTCTTGAACCTGGATCGCCCGACGCTCTAGAACTTTCCACGTATATCCAACAATCAATACGAAACTAACGATTTTAAATTGGCTCACCACTTTAGTAGCCTATTGATCCCAAGCAAACGATTAACGTACCCTATTCTAGTCGAAATTCTAGTACTACGCAATGTTTGTTTTGATTCGCTATGAAAGTTTGACAGATAAAATGAGGGGCTATTCGTTTTTCCTATGTTTCGAGGGGTGATTCGACAAGCTTGGGACCGAAGATAGTACCAGAGGTGAGCTAAAAAGTTGAGCACGTTTCTTCGGGACCTACTTGTCTTAGAGTTACCTCTATGGTATATCCTTGCTCGTGTAGTATTCTGGAAACAGAGGACGTACTGATGGAGCAGTTGAAAGTTTTCTCAAAACTATCCCTGGCCTCATCTAAGAATAATGTCGGATTTTATTTAAACTGTTCGATTAACCACCGTCGTTTCTCTGCTCCAAACTGCAAGGACACTTTTCTTCTCTCTTTGCGAGCCACCAATCCACTTTCGCGATAACGTTTTATCCAGCTGCTAATTGTAGTGTGATGCTTCCCGTACATTTTTGCCAATTGCGATTTGGACAAGCCCAGGAAATAGAACCCGTACAGCACGTGATACTTCGTATTGGTTGATGCATGTCGGCCAAGTACCTCTTCTTTAATTCGATACATTTTGTCAATGTTATGGAAAGTATGGATTTGGAAACTGTTATGAATAGAACAAACTCGGAAAATTTGCTGTTCGATACGGATTTTTTTTGACGTTTGTTTGTTTACATATTCATCAAGATAGCTGGCGCACAACCCGGCGCGCAACTGATCGGCGCATAAGTTGTTGGGCATTATGTGGATTTTTCTTAAGAATCACAATACTAACCAACGTTCTAACGGAAATTTTGACAATTTTGACTTAGGAAGCATTACTGCCCCTAAAATGGAATTTTTACAGAATTCATTAATTGGCATGATTTCTGATATATGCATATATGCTTAAATCTAACTCCATGTTTGATGCTATTCAAACTGGAGTAAAATTTGCTAATAATATTGTCATGACTTTAAAATTCAGTAATGGATTTTAAAGCTTTAAATATTTTAAATTGGAATGGTCCAGCTCCAGGTGATGATGTAATTTTCTATATCCTCATCAAAAACTCCCAGAGAGTACCTTGTATTTCTTGGTAAAATTATTTAACAGATCAGAGTTGGTTGGAAATGCTAACATGAAGCTTTAGTGTGATGATTTATTAGCTAGAGAATGATCTTTAGAAGAATGTAGGTGGATAGTTCCGTTAGAGTACGGCAGTATGAAAATTGAATAGAAGTTGAAAATGAGCGAAGGGCCATTAAAGCGACAGTTTTCAAGATGACGCACATTTTTGCCTAGCCCGTACGATGTACGCGGGGACTTGAAGTATGTCTCCAAGTCCACAGGCAAAAATGTGCGTCCCTCTTGTTGCTCATAAACTGACTGCGGCTGTGGAATAGTTCTAGCGACGTTTTCATCACTACCTAAAGCCCCACGTCGCGAGAGCATTTCCAGTCGATGGTGTGTTATAATGCAGTTCTTCTTTACCCAACTATTGTGTTGCTCCTCTCGTCATGACCAACGTGATCATCTCAGAGAGAAAGCAGTAGGGTGGTTGTTGCGTGCTGTACCATCATCAGCATTGTTGACGGCTACTCCCGCCTTGAGTTGTTACATTCAAAGTGTTTTTTATGTTACTTCATACGCGAAGTTAACGATTTTCAGAGTTGGTTGGAAATGCTAACATGAAGCTTTAGTGTGATGATTTATTAGCTAGAGAATGATCTTTAGAAGAATGTAGGTGGATAGTTCCGTTAGAGTACGGCAGTATGAAAATTGAATAG